TGTCTCTTTGTAGTAGTTTTGTGTGTCTTTGCTGTTGTTGTATGTCTCTGTTGTATTTTTGTGCCTCTCTGTGGTTGTTTTAGGTCCCTCTGTAGTGGTTCTGTGTCTCTTTGTGGTTGTTTTATGTCTCTTTAAAGTAGTTTTGTGTCTCCTTGCTGTTGTTTTGTGTCTATGTTGTAGTGTTGTGTCTCTTTGTGGTTGTTTGTGTCTCTTTGGAGTTGTTTGTGTCTCTTTATGTTTGTTTCCTGTTTCTCTGCAATAGTTTTATGTCTCTTTGTGGTTGTTTTATGTCTCTGTATGAAGTTGTGTGTCTCTTTGCTGTTTTATGTCTCCGTTTTTGTTTTGTTTCTCTGCAATAGTTTTGTGTCTCTGTGTGGTTGTTTTATGTCTCTGGAATAGTTTTGTGTCTCTGTGTGGTTGTTTTATGTCTCTTTGTAGTAGTTTTGTGTCTCTTTGCTGTTGTTTTGTGTCTCTTTGTGCTTTTTAATGTCTCTTTGTAGTAGTTTTAGTTTCTTTGTGGTTGTTTTGTGTCTCTGTGCTTTTTAATGTCTCTTTGTAGTAGTTTTAGTTTCTTTGTGGTTGTTTTGTGTCTCTTTGTAGTAGTTTTGTGTCTCTTTGTGGTTATTTTATGTCTTTGTAGTAGTTTTGCATCTCTTTGTGGTTGTTTTATGAGTCTCTCTGTGGTAGTTTTGTGTCTTTTTGTTGTAGTTTTTGTCTTATTGCAGTTGTTTTCTGTCTCTGTTGTGATTTTTGTGTCTCTTTGTGGTTGTTTTATATGTATTTGTAGTAGTTTTGTAACTCCTGTACTTGTTTTGTCTCTTTGTAGCAGTTTTGTCTTTCTATGGCTGTCGTTTTTTATCTCTTTGTAGTAGTTTGATATCTCCTGTGCTTGTTTGTCTCCTAATAGCAGTTTTGTGTCGCCTTGTAGAAGTTTTGTGTCTCTTTGTGGTTGTTTTATGTCTTTTTGCGGTGGCTCTGTGTCTCTTTATGGTAGTTTTATGTCTCTTTGCTGTTGTTTTAGGTCTCTGTTGTAGTATTGTGTCTCTTTGTAGTAGTTTAGTGTCTCATTGCTGTTGTTCTATGTCTGTTGTAGTTTTGTGTCTCTGCAATAGTTTTGTGTCTCTTTCGGTTGTTTGTGTCATCAATAGTTTTGTGTCTCTTTGCTGTTGTTTTATGTCTCTGTTGTAGTTCTGTGTCTCTCTGGGGTTGTTTTATGTCTCTGTTGTACTTGTATGTATTTTTGTAGTTAATGTGTCTGTCTGTAGTATTTTTGTATCTATTTGTCTTAGTTTTTGTCTCATTGCAGTTGTTTAATATCTCTGTTGGTTTGGTTGTCTCTTTGTGTTTGTTTTATATCTATTTGTAGTAGTTTTATATCTCCTGTGCTTGTTTGTCTCCCTGTAGAAGTTTTGTGTCTCTTTTGGGTTTTTTTTATGTCTCTTTGTAGTGGTTCTGTATCTCTTTGTGGTTCTTCTGCCCATTTTGTAGTTATTTTGTATCTCTGTGCAGTTCCTTGGACTCACTTTGAGGTCATTTTGAGTATCTTCCTGGTCGCAATGTGTTAATTTGACATTTGACATTTTGCAGGAGAGGGTCAGGGGTCAGGGACACTTTGGGCCCTTGTGCCTGTGGCTTTTGGGCCTGCTCAGTAATCCATTTGTGAGTATGTTCTATTATTATTACCAATGCATTCTTGCAGCACTTTTTTCCTAGTAATCCACTAGGGTTGAACTGAATATTCGGATAAAGATGAGTACTTTTTACGAGTACAACTGTTGTACAAGTAAAATGTGTCATAATCTGTACTTGTGATTAACTGCGATCAAATACAATCCTAAACTTAATTCTGAGGTTGTTCTGTGAATAGCTTTCTAATAAATAATAACTGCAATAACCTGTGATCAAAGCATATCAATATCAGGCTTAAAATAACAACTTGTGGTCAAGTCCCATCTACTTTTGATTTAGCCTCCACCCGCTTCCAGCTTAAAGCTTGCCCATTCTATATAAAGATGCAGATACAGATAATTTGGTTGGTTGAACAGATACAGATAATGGTGTATAATCTACAAAAGTGCATCATATTTTATAAACTTAAATGTTGAATCCAGCCATGGAATGTAACTAAGTACATTTACTCATGCCCCTGTAGCTTATGGTTATTGCTTCTCAAATATGATGAATTGTTGTTTTTCTTGTACATACTTGTACATATGTACAGTACAGGCCAAAAGTTTGGACACACCTTCTCATTCAATGCGTTTTCTTTATTTTCATGACTATTTACATTGTAGATTCTCACTGAAGGCATCAAAACTATGAATGAACACATGTGGAGTTATGTACTTAACAAAAAAAGGTGAAATAACTGAAAACATGTTTTATATTCTAATTTCTTCAAAATAGCCACCCTTTGCTCTGATTACTGCTTTGCACACTCTTGGCATTCTCTCCATGAGCTTCAAGAGGTAGTCACCTGAAATGGTTTCCACTTCACAGGTGTGCCTTATCAGGGTTAATTAGTGGAATTTCTTGCTTTATCAATGGGGTTGGGACCATCAGTTGTGTTGTGCAGAAGTCAGGTTAATAAACAGCCGACAGCCCTATTGGACAACTGTTAAAATTCATATTATGGCAAGAACCAATCAGCTAACTAAAGAAAAACGAGTGGCCATCATTACTTTAAGAAATGAAGGTCAGTCAGTCCGGAAAATTGCAAAAACTTTAAATGTGTCCCCAAGTGGAGTCGCAAAAACCATCAAGCGCTACAACGAAACTGGCACACATGAGGACCGACCCAGGAAAGGAAGACCAAGAGTCACCTCTGCTTCTGAGGATAAGTTCATCCGAGTCACCAGCCTCAGAAATCGCAAGTTAACAGCAGCTCAGATCAGAGACCAGATGAATGCCACACAGAGTTCTAGCAGCAGACCCATCTCTAGAACAACTGTTAAGAGGAGACTGCGCCAATCAGGCCTTCATGGTCAAATAGCTGCTAGGAAACCACTGCTAAGGAGAGGCAACAAGCAGAAGAGATTTGTTTGGGCCAAGAAACACAAGGAATGGACATTAGACCAGTGGAAATCTGTGCTTTGGTCTGATGAGTCCAAATTTGAGATCTTTGGTTCCAACCGCCGTGTCTTTGTGAGATGCAGAAAAGGTGAACGGATGGATTCCACATGCCTGGTTCCCACTGTGAAGCATGGAGGAGGAGGTGTGATGGTGTGGGGGTGTTTTGCTGGTGACACTGTTGGGGATTTATTCAAAATTGAAGGCACACTGAACCAGCATGGCTACCACAGCATCCTGCAGCGACATGCCATCCCATCCGGTTTGCGTTTAGTTGGACGATCATTTATTTTTCAACAGGACAATGACCCCAAACACACCTCCAGGCTGTGTAAGGGCTATTTGACCAAGAAGGAGAGTGATGGAGTGCTGCGGCAGATGACCTGGCCTCCACAGTCACCGAACCTGAACCCAATCGAGATGGTTTGGGGTGAGCTGGACCGCAGAGTGAAGGCAAAGGGGCCAACAAGTGCTAAACACCTCTGGGAACTCCTTCAAGACTGTTGGAAAACCATTTCAGGTGACTACCTCTTGAAGCTCATCGAGAGAATGCCAAGAGTGTGCAAAGCAGTAATCAGAGCAAAGGGTGGCTATTTTGAAGAAACTAGAATATAAAACATGTTTTCAGTTATTTCACCTTTTTTTGTTAAGTACATAACTCCACGTGTTCATTCATAGTTTTGATGCCTTCAGTGAGAATCTACAATGTAAATAGTCATGAAAATAAAGAAAACGCATTGAATGAGAAGGTGTGTCCAAACTTTTGGCCTGTACTGTACATATATGTGAAAGTGAATATAAATGGAGACGATGACCTGTAGCATCTATATTTGCCTTCATGTCTCTGTATGCACTCTTCGATGTGTATTAACACAACGAAGTATAATTAATAAATACATTTTCCTGGATTAAGTACTTTTATTTTTAATACTTTTATATATGTTTTCTGATTATACTGACATACTTTTACTTGACTAACATTTTCAGTGCAGGACATTTACTCGTCAAGTCATTTTTATTTATATAGCACATTTCATATGACAAGCACAGTTTATTTAATGTCTGCTTTGAATTACAGTAATCCAGCCTACAGGAAATAAAAGCGGGAACCAGCTTCTCAGAGTCTGACCAAGACAAGAGGCATCTAACCTTTGATATATTTCCGAGGTGATAAAAGACAGTCTTAGAAATATAAGAGATGTGCTTCTGGAAGTTCAGATCTGCGTCTAAAATCACACCCAAGTTTTTGACAGAAAGGGGATTAACAAGGATCCCTCAAAGCCTCAGGTCATACTAACAGAACTAGTAGTAACATAGTATTTTACAGTGTGGTACGCTTACGTAAGTATAGGGTCTGAATACTTCCTCCACCACTTGTAAAATCTAAGTTTTCAAAATAATTTTGAGTTAAAGCCATGTCTCTGCTCCTTCTCTCGATATACATACTGTAGGTACTTATGGGTATTCTCTGGGTGAAATTCCCAGAGTGACATTGTTGGACCTCTGTATTCAGGGGCCATGTTGTGCCCTGCTTACATTAGTAATGTACTGTAGTATTTCACAGTGTGGTACACTTACTTAAGTAAGGGTCTGAATACTTCTTCCACCACTTGTAAAATCTTTTCAATATAACTTGGAGCTGAAAGCTGTCAGATGAATGACATTGAGTAAAAAGTATAATATTTTCCTCTGAATTGTTGGAGAATACAGGTGAAAATACTTAACTATGACTTTGTGCTCACATACACCACTGTAATGAACTAAAGGTTGCAGCTCTGAGCTTTTGTATGAGACTCATCAGTGAGTAAAGTCTTTGAATCAAACCTCAGCTACTACAGGTGTATCTCTGGCCTGATATAAGTTTTAGAGTCAGACTTTAACATCCAGTTGACCATCAGCTGCAGATGGACCGCAGCTCTGCATAGGCCTACCTTCACCTCGGGCGCGCAGTCTCTCCTGTCGCAGCTGCAGGCGGAGTGGACAACACAGGTGCAGTCCGGTTTACACTCAACCATACATATCTGCTCCTCAGCGCCGGGCGACGACATGAAGGCAAACTTTGAGGCATTTTTTGGCGACTTAGGTGAAAACATGTTGGAGCTGCTCTTATGCCGTTCGGCTTATCTTTGCCTATCAAAGTCGGAGGGCAAAAGTCCGCAGTGGGTACGCGCTCCGTGTTGTTCCTGGAGATAAGGGGAGCGCAGCGCGGCGCCGGTGAACGTCATTTTACTGCTCAGCTTTGGGAGTTGGAGGGTTTTGATTTGAGGGGGTCCATGAGGAAAGGGCGGGCAAGGCCTCCAATCACATGACTTCTGAAAGTGTAGACTTAATACAAAACAACAGTACAGTGCCATATTCACACACAGAGGCCTTAAAGATGATCTCCATTCAACTGGAGTTTGTGAAGACGTAAGTATGTATTAAAGGGGAAAGTTGGTACAGAAATAATCCATGATATCTGTAGAAAAATAAGTTTATTAAAGTCCAAATACATTTAAGTACAAGCACCGCATAAAGGCAAAAGAACCCCCTTCCTCTCCCTTCAGCAAACTTTAATATTGGGGAATTAGGTCGTACTTTTCAAAATAAAAGCCATTTCCTCATCATTTTTGAGAGCTACAGAAATAAAAAAAAAAATCTGATTTTTATCCAAATAAGAGTGTCCATGTTAAATACTCAATAACCGCACAATCTGACTTTACGTATTTATTTACAAAATACATTTTGAGTGTACTCAATGCCTCCAAAGTCAAACAGTATCACTGTAAATGATGCAACAACAGTCAAAGTGTGTGTGTGTGTGTGTGTGTGTGTGTGTGTGAAGGTGGGAGGAGGCAGGGTTCGTCAAAGCAAAACAATGAGGATTTAAAATAGCATTTAAAATAAAAAAGATGCAAAGTAATGCAAACAAAAAATCTTCATTTCTCTTGTTTCACTAATGAATATAACCGTGGCACACTGCAAGGTAAATCCATCTTTGGTCATTTTATCTGTTGTGTCTTATTGTTCCTAAAACAGGTGACAGGGCTGATCGAGATGATTCCACTTGTCTTGGTGTTATTATCAACTATCAATGAATGAGACTGCATAGACATCTAGAAGGCACACACATTTAAAATATGATTAGGAACAGAGTCCATCTGCGTTTCTTTACTGTCCTGGCTTAAAAATGTTCACTTAAAGGAATAATCCCCACATCACTGGTGTTTTGTTGGATATAAAATGTTCCTTGATCTGACATCAAGCGTGTCTTTAAACATCCAGCCAACACACAAACAGGAAATCAAAACAAAAGGAATCATCTTATCTTCACTTGGCACAATTTCTTGCTTTTCTTTTTTAAAGGAAACGCTGTATTTTTAGACCACATGTGAGATTAAATGTTCAAAAGGACATTGCTTGCAGTGTAGATCTGTACAACAGGTTGGGAGGATGAGAAGCAACAGGAACCGAAAATTCTTCCTCAGGTGGAAACTGTTCAGCGCTGTCGATCCCAGCGCCAGATTGAGGCGTCATCACACACAGCTATCAAAATGCTGCTGTCGCGGCTGAAGCTGGTTTGCCGGATGGCTGATGTGCATTTGGGGAGAGTCAGTGTGGTGCACCTGGAAACCAGAGAGGATAAGGTTTCGGGTTTGGTTGTTTGATAAAAAGACTTTTTTTGTTTTTTAACAAATGCAGCCTGGAAACATTAATACGTGCTGATTGCAATCTATTAAACAGAGCAGGCATTTCACACTGAGCCTCAAACACAAATGTTTTACATTCGGTCTTCAGTACAGTCACAGGCTTACCTCGGTATTTTTCAACCTGGACCCTGTTTTCCCATGTTTTTCTGTCTAAGTGACAAATGGGAACAACATCTTATTTAAACTGATCCAGGATTGAGAGAGAGGGCAGCCAGCAGCAGCAATGTATCGTTAATGAGCAATTAAGTACCGTCAATTTACACACACTAAATGTAGGGCTGCCCCTTTAAAGTCAGAGGTTTAATCAGTCGGAGACCCCTCAGTTGAGGGGGACTGAGATCGCCTCAAGTCGAGCAGTCTTTTTTTGCTTGTCAGTAGGCTGTGCAGTGTATTTCTGGGGATGATTTGGTCCCCAGGTTTTGCTGCGGAGTGAGCGCTCTAGACCACTGTTTCTCAAATGGTGTGCCGTGATGCCAATCCAGGTGTGCCCTGCTGTGGGATTTTGTGATAACCACACATTATTATTGCAGTGTTCAGCTGGGCCTATAGAAAAGGTTATGAATTAATTTTTAATTGACTGTATCAGTATTTTGTGCAAACCTATTTCCTAATTGAGAGGCAAACTCTTACTAAAAAATATAATTAATTTAATTTTATAAACCTTAACAGAGAACCTATTTGACAGCGTTTGTGTGTGGGAATTATAGGTGTGTGACACATCAAAAGATTGGCAGCCAATGTGAGGGATTGTAACATTTAAAAGGAGAAAGCCATGAGCCTTGATGAAGCTCACCTGGCCTTGCAGGCTATAAAAGCTGCCTCATGTTTTCACCTGCTCTCTCCCCTCCTACAGCAGACATTCACCCTGCATCATTGCTTTATGGTTTAATCCTTCACGACCTCCACAGCACACCTGACACACATCCACGCATAGCTTTCATTACTGACTTTGCTGACCTACACACTCCATTGTTTATTGAAGTTAATCTTAGTTTGAAAAATTATGCTTGTTTTAGCTAAATCTTTTGTGTGGAGTCCCTACTCATCACAATGGGGAAAAAAATTGTAAAAAAAATTGTAAAATTGTAAAAACTGCTGAATCTGATTCAACTGACATACTTCTGAGTCGGGTACAGCCCTTTTGCCACTTACAATTGCTATTGTAAGTTTCTGATAGCATTAAGGAAAGGATCGCTACAGACAAATAAAATGTTATTCTGTTCTTTTGTTAGGGTCTATTTTGTAACTTCGCTGAAGTCTCACTAAAGGAGAAAAGGTATCTTGTTGCAAGAACACATCAGTTGAAACGTGAGTGAGAGCTAAACAGAGGATTTTACAGTAATAGTTTGTTGTGTTGAGAGTACAGACAGCAAATGTCCCTTAGTTGTGCTACAATAAAATGGACCCTCCTCACACTGCCCATACACTGTGCCTTACAGAACATCAGGTCTGCAGAGACAATTTGGACCAGGCTGACTACTGCCAGCCAAAGAGGAGAAAAAAAAATCAAATCAAATCACCAAAGTACTTACATCGAAAGAAAAATGCTGTTCCAAGAGTGGTGAGACCTGCTGCAGACACAGTGGAGGTAATGTTATTAGCTTAAGTCATTGTGTTTACCTGGCATGAGTACACACAAAAGCATGGCAGGGGACCCGCAAAAACACCTTTAATGGGCGTAAACTGACGGTGCTCAGAATGAGACTCCTCCTTGGACACAAACAGACCGAAACAAGCAAAAGATTCGACAAAACCTTTTATTCCTCTGTAGGATCCTTTCTGTTATGTTGCTAGACACTTATAATAACAATATGAGCCTGTTGGTGGCAAAAACAAGCACTTTTAGTGGAGCACATGCCCCAAATGGGTTACATTGCAGCCTGTTTTGCTGATGCTGGCTGCGACGCTCTCTGTAAATACTGGACCGCTTTCAAAATTGCTTCATTAAGTCACATAGACGGAAAATTATGGGAAGATAGGATGCAGGTTGAAAAACAGTGGAGTTTCTTATTAACGGGATGATTCTCCACCCTGAGAGACACCTTACAGACCTGTATACCTGCAGTAAAAAATAGATTTGTGAAGCTCTAAAAGATTTGCAATGTTGATTTACTGTGATTATTTTCATAGATTTAAAAGATTAATCTGTATTAATCTTAATTTTATGATTTGATTATTTGTTTAGTCCATAAAGTGTGAGACAAGAGTACAACCTCCCAGAGTCTAAGGCGACAGTCAAATAAAAGGAGGACTGTTAGTTTTTTCTTGTTTTTTTTTTTTTTTTCCATTCAACATTTCTGAAATATTAACAGATGTGTTTGAGCCTCTATTTTCTTTCTTTTAAGTGTCTTTTGCTCTGTACTGTTGGGCTTCTCATTTCACTAGTGCGTCTGTCGCAAGCTGTGCAAAATGATGCAATGTGACATGGACATAAGGAAAACAACAAACCTCATAAATTACCATCTGACAGTCTATAAAAACATATGAGCTTCAGTGAGATGACATTTCTGTGTTTGTTATTTTGTCCACACCCTGTATATTGACACAGAGTTGAGGTGACACCAAACTGTTACTCCGCTGTTTACTTTGGCTGAGATTATGACACTGACAGGGTCACCACAGTGTCGTGTAACAATTATACCGTCTGACATCACACCTGTCTGGTATGAAACATGAACAACACTACATTCAGATTTTGTGTATTTAGCTGACAGTCATTATCAGTGACAGGAGGAGTGTCCTTGCTGTCAATCAGGAATAAAACTGTCACTTATCTGTTTGGATAAAAACTGGCACTTACTTTGCTTTGTGTGGGTCTTCCACTTCAAGGTCCCACACATAAAGCTTCCCCACCTGGTTTCCCAGTGCGAGCATCTGGAAATCAGCATCACAGGAGACAAAACATCAGCGACAGACTAAAAACCACTCTTAAGATCTCGGAAGCACTTTCAGTGCCACGATTATAGCTAAAAAACTTTATAAATGCAACAAAGTATTAGTCATAAGAGGTATAAAATACAAAATGAGACAGATATGCAGCTACAAATGATAAATAAATGACCTCACCTTCTGCCAGAAGTCCATGGAGAAGCGCATGTACCAAATGTCACACTGGCTGTAATCAAAACGTCCCAGAATCGTCACGTTGGACTCATTTGGTTTAATGTGATCGATGTCGTCCTCCATCTTTCCTGGTTTCCAGCAGACGATGGCGTTTTCACAGGACTGCAACCAGACAGGAAACATTAATAAAGAGCATGTTTAGACTTAAGTAAAGAAATAAAGGGCATGTAGCATTCACCACCATGCTGAAGAGTTGCTTTGTGGTTTTCTGCACGTCAAACATAATCCAGAGCTAGGCAGGTTTTTTTTTCCCCTCGACCCCCATGTTTTTGTGCGCAAGTGACAAATGGGAACTTTTTTTTTAATTGTTTTTATTGTTTGTATTGTACAGTATTGAGCGGGAGCAGCAGCCAGACTGCAATGTGATTACTCAGATTATGTTTGCACCATCAATGTATATCCACTAAAAG